CAGTTATTCATTGGTTTGCTCAGTTTGCTATGTTTTTGTCTAACATATTTCAACACACGCCTACATTTTAAAAACACAAACATCATGGCGTTTCTGAAAAAACGTTTATTAAAACGTTGAGGAAAACAGTGCTGGTTCAATTATCCGATAATGGGACCATGGCTTTGTGGACGGCATGCCACTATGTTGGCGTCGGGAATGACGATGAACCCAAAAGAGTTTCCAGGTGCTCTCATTGTCCCAGTTCCCAAAGTTGTTGGTGTCATGTGTGGTATGTGGTTGTGGACAAGTTCCAGTGTCTTGCCATTGAGCTGTACCTTTCTGGAAAAAATAAATCAAAACTGTTTTATTTGTCAGCACATTATGCATTGATCATCTTTCTGTTCTTTCAGTCGCCGCGATTCGCTGTGCAGAGTTGCGCCCCTTAGGCACGCAAGAAACCTATGATTGTGGGTTCGAATCCCGATTTCTAGGTTTGTCAGCACCATACACATGCTCGTCGGTTTCACCGAAGTGGCAAACGTCTGAGACCTCCATCACTTCGGGCTTCCCTCCCACATTAAGCTGACACACCGTTATATAACTGGAATACTGTTAAAAGCGGCGTTAAACCAAACTCACTCACTCACTCATATCGTACTTCAAAGCCTAGCCAAGGGGAAGATGCACATTATATAAATTATTTGTTTCATATGGACCTGCAGTTTGTCCTGTCTCCATGGTGTGTGTGTATGCTCAGATAAACTTCAGCAACTCAACATACACTCACCAATGTGGTTTAAACATATGTATTTTCACAAAAATGTGAAAATGGATTTGAAAACAAGGGAAGCGTTTATGTTAATACCACTCCATTACACATAGGACATATTACAATAAATACATCAATGAAGGTTAGATGTAACAAATGAATTGTACATGTCAAGTTGGATGTGAATATATAATAAGTCTGTTTGCAGTTTATATTAAGCAATTCATTTAACTGAAATTTTGCCAGTTTTTAATATGACGTTTTGAAAAGAATCTAATATCAGAATTTGCTCTTCCTTATTCAAATACGAATTTCCGCATAACACTGTTTGTAAAAAATAACAATGTTGGTAAAAATACATTTCATTTCGAAGAACATAGTAATGTGTACACATAAAAAGGAAGTGTAAAGTATCTTCGGTATGATATCCACAGGGACAAGTTTTTGTGTCAAAGATATATCTATCATACTGATTTGCGATAAGATCGCTGCAGCCAAGCCTGAGGCGAATGTAAATAATTTGATATAATCTGCTTCCATACTTTAAATCCCAGTGTATACCATTATCTCCCATTACGTGAAGCAAATTCTTAAATTGTGTAACGGCCCCCGTCAGGTTTTCTGGTAACATATTCCACAGTTGTGTTGTAACTGGTATAAATGAATCTGTATAAGCTTTTGTTTTTTACACTTCGCTGTTTGAAGATTAGTTTTATCCCTTCAGTCATAATTTGTGTTTTCCGAAACTGTATTAAGAATAAGTCTACAAAGATATTTCGGGGAGAAATGGTTATTCATTTTGTAAAATATAACCAGTTTTGAACTGTATCTTCTGTCTTGTAATTACTTTCATTGTAAATCTTCTGATGACTCGTACTTTTGACAGCGCCAAATATGGTTCTGAGAGCATGTACTTTTTCCAATACGTAAGCTTGTTCATTGGTACAGTTGTAACAATAATCAAAAATTGCTAAATTAAATGATTTGTACATAGTTTCTAAGGTAGTTCGTAATAGACGATATTTATAACTTCTTAAACAATTAACCAGAGGATAACATTTCCTAACAATATCATCAATGTGCATTTTCCATGTACAATTGCTTTGTAAAGTAATACCAAGGTGCTTTATGACTTTGCACATCATCGATTTGTGTACCTTTCATATATAATTTAGGTTTGCGACTTGGGTTTACTTTAAGGGTAAATTGAATAGGTTAAGATTTTTCGGGACTAAATGTAACTTGCCATCTAGCAGCCCATTCCGAAATTCTGTCCAAGTCATTATTTAGACCATGAGCAGCTATATCAGGATCTCCTATGATCACATACAAAGATGTGTCATCAGCAAAAGGTCTTATATTACTCACCTATGTCTGTTCCTCTTATCATTATCCTCGGCATTTGACAACATTCACAATGAAATATTTTCTGACTCATGAGTTTGTGATACTTGAAAAATCATTAAGCACAATGGTTGAAAGAAAACAAATTATATACAAACTGTGATTTCAAATCTCCTCCCTCTGGAGTCAGCCAGAATATGTCCACGCTTTTGATGTTGAGATCCGATATGGTAAGGATTACGGGGTCACTATTTAGGTTAAGGGCATACACTGTGATACTGCCAGGCATGTAGTTGTACACGCTGAAACATAAACCGATGATGTCATAACAAATGTCAGTATATATGATATTTAGCATTACGTTCGTGAAATCCAGTTATTTGTTTTGCCAGTCACTGTTTTGTTTACCGTCCATGCAAATGACGGACATGACGTCATTTTGTGTGATCTGACGTCATTTGTTTGTTAGGTCACAATCGCTCTGTTCACACGCATAGTCACTATACTGAGATTCTGCTGGCAGCCACAGGATTGTCACGTGGAATAAAAACATTACATGGAAAAAGGGCTTTGTAGCTTGTGAACTCGAATGAAATGTATTCAGGACATATGCATATCCAAGAAATCTAGCCATTTGATTTGCCAAATTGCCATTTTGTGAATTTTCCGTACAATTCAGTTGGCGACATGTAAGGATGTCATAAGAGTCAATGAGCTGACAGCTTTTTGCAAAGGTGTAATTGTGTTGTTAATTTCAATGTTTGTGTCTATCTTAACTTTGATATAATGTTGTTGTTGTTGTGTTAAACATACATTTATTGCATGTAGAACATTTACACAATTAGATGAAATGCGTACCAGATCTATGAAGTTTACCTTGAATATTTTGGAATGTTGACTTTGTTTGAAAAGTATTTTGAAGTAGTGCTACGGAGGAGTTAGAAAATTGCTTTTCTGGGATCATCATTATTTGTCTCTGAAAAACCAAATTGTACATTTACTTTAATTAAATGTATCCATGTCTTCCAAGCATGTCCACGCACTACTTTTCAGTGGAGGTACGGGTCTCGTCTAGGGCACGACAATTCTCTGTGCAGAGTTTCATCCCTTGGTTTCGCAATAAACCAATGATCGTCGGTTCAAATCCCGAATTCGCCCCAATTTGTTTCTAGGTTTGTCAGGGCTATACCGGTGCTCGAGGGTTTCACAAGAGGTTTTAAACCTGCATCACTTTGTGCTTTGCTTCCATACCATAACACGCCGTGATATAACTTGAATAGTGTTCAAATTCGGCGTTGAACTGAACTCGATCACTCACTCTAATTCCTTGCTATAATGTTGGTTGTGTCTGTGATTTCTACTGTGATGTCATGGGTATTTCGTACATTGTTTGAAGGTTGGAAAATGTCTGTGTGCAATTTAGGTGAAAGCTTGTTAGTAAACTATTTCAACAGGTTTAGAATAAAGTGTGTGACTAAACAACTCACTTGTTAAGGTTCGTGCAGTGGGCATACATGCAGAGGTTGTTAGATGAAGATGGAACATCAAATACCTTGTTGCCAACAAGTCTCTTGTAAAGAAGCGTCAACCAGTAGTCCTGTCAAAAGGCATAATGGTGTGCGTCACTATAAGAGAGGCAATGTTGTCATTTAAGCTGTAAAATGTGTCTTGACATGAAAACCAGCAGTTGATGCTGTGATAGGATGATGCAAGTCAAACAACCTGCTCACCCAAAACCCATTGCAGTCGGCCTTTACACACAGGTACAGTTGAATTTTTATGATACGGCATTCCGACAACGGAGCACCGACACAATGACGTTGGCGATCGTTAACGTGACCTAAGGACATGTTTACAGTACATACATGTACGTATACTCACGGGGGTAGGGTTGTTGTTATTGTCAATAAGTGAATAATGCCCTCCGAAGAGTGACTGGCGAAGGACTCTTTTTAAGCCGTATTTTGCTGAAACACCAAGTTTATCAAGCCACCTGGAATAAGGATATGACAGTCAACATTTTTATATTACATACACACACAGTGATCCATTCAAAACATGCCACTTTTTGCATCATAATAAAACGAAATATAATTGTTTACAGTGAGTGAGTGAGTGAGTCAAGATTTAACGTCACATCGGCAATATTTCAGCAATATAGAATTGTTTGGCAGAGGCGCTTCAGACATCAGCAGCAGCGTCGTGTAATACCCGTGTAAACGTGAACTTCTACACGTCAAATCGACACGATTTACAATTATTTTTCATTATTTCGAGTTTCAACGGACCTAAGAACACCAATCATCACCACCTATCAAGCATGTATTGACAATCTGCATCTACATCAACGTATGCTAGCACTCCCTCGAAGGTGTTCTCGCTGACATCCGTATGCTGTATTCGATCTTTGATAGTTTTGTGTGAGCCAGAAAAAGTTTCAATCGAAATCAGAAAGAAATATAACTCTAAAATCAGTAAGATAACTAAAATGCTCACAGATTGCCAGCCACATATCTGTTGCCTATGCCAGGTGTGCCACCCCCATAACCAGACGAGGTCTCCCCTAGCCACGCCACCAGACCATGATAGCTTTGGATCGTACTCATCACTGTGTGTATTTCAGGTATAAGATGATCTATTATAGAATAGTTAGAAAAGTCTTTCAGTTTAGCGGTGTGTCCATCAAAGTAGTAACTGAAAAGATTAATAATTAACACAGCAATTCTCAACCCGTTTCTGTACATGCAACAATCAGCTGCACAAATGCTCCTTTCTGTCTTCATTCCTCTCATTATTTAGTCATTAGTAAATTCCCGTTCTTGTTGATATACACACTGTGATCAATTAATCTTTTCAATCCATCTTCCTGGAATTCTACTTACAAGTACAGCAGTTACTATCCCATTGCTACTTCCACCTATTATTTCGGAATATATATGTTGTCATCTGCAATATGTTGACTAAGTAAGGTGACCTTCAATTGTTACACGTGACATTAAAACTTTAGTGTAGTCAATGTCCATGATACTTCACCCGGAAGGAAGTACACTCACTGATGGATGGTCAAGACGTCTATGACACTGGCTCCACCATGGGACAAGAAGCTGGAAATGCACGGTCACATTGGAGAGTTGGTATGGACAAAGAAAGTACTTTTGCATTACCGTCGTTAGCATTTGTGCAAATAGCACATCTGATGTGTGATGTTTTTTCTAACATAGAGAATGCTTATAAGAGTACAAACTAGTCATAGATATGTCTCAATTAAGATTAACAACAACAATCTAGCCCTCATCACCATGCAGCTTATTCCCTCGTTGTACAGGGTGTGCAACGTGAATTTGGTACACACTTGTTAATGTACTTGTCTTTATAACCGGCTATGTCAGGTCCAAGGATGAGACTGTCCTTATAGGCCATTCCTTGAAGGACTTGTTTTAGTTCCTTGTAGTCGCTTCCCAGCTGAACATCACTGACAGTAGTATTCCAGTGACGATAGTACAAGTTTGGTTCTCAATGAAAAATATGTACAGTGATAATAAATACATCAAGCATGACAGGAAAACCTGTATCAATGGTGGTACATTTGTCGCGAAGTGAATAAATATACAAACTACAGTCAAACACTGTTGTACTCGAAGTATTAACGTACGCCCCTTTAACCTGTACACAACGGTATTTGACTGTATATTAAATCGTTCTTCAAGTATTAACACTGATGACAATATGCATGAAGCAGATAATCCTCTATTTATACGTTATGTTTGTCTATTATTCAAAGCCGCAACTTTACAGCAATATAACAGTGGGATGAAGGTAATCGGATCAGACAGGCTAGGCTGTTGGAGTACGATATGAACGCTCGCAGATGAACAACCTGACCACCGATCTTTCTTGGTCATCTCATACAGGTCTAAGTTGTTGCCCACAGGGATATTATTTAGGTGTGGTTGATGCGACATACACATGGCTTCAAAACCTACCATTTCCCAGTTCAATCCCTGCAAAAGTGTATCCTTTGTCAGAGGAATACTTGAGCAACTGTTTAGCATTTGATGGGTTCCACTTAGTTCCATCGCGGAGCATCAGGTTGAGACCAATCACCAGTTTTAGCCCAATCTTGTGAACATACATGTTGAGATCATCCCAGGTGTTTACTGAAAATATGTGTTTCTCAATTTGCGTATGTTCTAATAATACGTTGTTCACGTTCATAAGTTTCAATAATGAGTCAAGGCATACTTGCTCATATCTGAATCTTAAAGCGTGACGGATGGAATAAGATTATGTAAATAAAGAAATCCATCAGTCACATGGTTATTTGATACAGTGTCAACCAGCAACCTCGGCAAAGTTCTCTGTCAAGCAATGTCCGGATTAACTAATTATGGGAACAAAGTACTGTTCCTTTCTATACAGGTGAGCATCTTCAGCTGCGATGTTCGGAAAACGCGATTTCAATATTACCACGGTCCGCACAAATTAGGTTTCAATGTACAGCAAAATATATAACTTTTATTGTAAGTCAGATGTCCCTACAGGTATAATTCAATCCAACCTTCAGAACCCACTGTGCATAAAACTTCGGTCAAATTTCCATTTGTACAGAGAAAACCAACAGCTGTGGTAGTTTGATAGAATGACCAAAAAGCTTATTCAAAATGAATCGACTCTTGTTGGAGATTGATTATATATTTAGTTTGTATCAGGTAGCCCGGTGTAGCCATTATGGCCTCTGTAGTACCTTTGGGAAGTAGAGTGAAAGTCATTTTTATAAGCTTTTTTTCTAGGAAGATATAACGATCTTATACAGCTATCACCTGGGAGTTGGAACTGCTGCCCAGTGGCTATATTGTGAGTCGTGTCAAACACCATGGCGTCCACTGATGAGCCTCCGATTCTCAGATACCCCGGTGCTAAAGCTTTTCCAAGAGCCAGCAGTTTTGGAGAGCTGTTAAAACAGGGAAGTTGTTAAAAATATACTGATGTTCAAATTATAGTGCCTTAGTGAGTTATATTTTATGCGTCTTTAAGCAATACTCTTGCAACATCACGACGGGGACACCAGAAATAAGTTTCACACATTGTACCCATGTTTCGAAACAAACCGGGACCTTCAGCATGACACTTTAACTTACCACCAGCCTACCCGACAGCCCGGTCAAATTAGAAGCTGTAAATATCGTGAAGAAACAATTGCTAACCGATAATAGCATCCGTAGCTTTGCTATGGCACTAGACACTGATGAGTAAATGCATACTTTAGTGTATAATCAGTCTAGTTTGATACATCACTTTTACCCATTTCTTATGTCGCATGCATGATGGCTATTTCAACGCCATGTTATAACGAACTCACGGATATTACGAACATAATTTTTAGTCCCCAGCGTTTACTGCCTAGATGTATGTATGTTTTTAACGAAAGACGGTTATAACGAACTTAAAGTTGTGGTCCATTTGAGTTTGTTATAACTGTAGGTTACGGTATCCTGAATCGGGCTCGGAACAAACATGTGACTGTGAAATGGTCCAGGTTCTTCTACGAGATTAGGCATTTTCTAGGCTGGATAAGCTAGGATACTGATTACAATGTTTGGTGTATGTGTTGTGTTCTACGCGAACATTGCAACAATTTTTCGACCGTTTTGCTATATCATGAAAATAACTAAATATATATAAGGTGTTAGCTTGATGTGGAATGGATACTCTTCTAAGCATAAAGCTTCAGAGTGACAAAAATATATCCACAAGACTTCAACTGTCCAGTCAACAACTTGTCCTACATTTCGAGAAATATTCCAACAACTTCAGCCTTCGGCATCGACTTTTCTCAACTTTAGAGGTACAATCCCAGATTTCACCAATATTTTAAAGAGCGTCATTTGACTCAAAATTTGCTCTATTCGTTCAATGTTGCAACATTCAAGGCCTCAGTTTGTTGGTTTGTTGTTGTTTGTAACGCCGCACACACCAATATTCCATCTGTATGACAGGGGTCTCTGAATAATCGAGTCTAGACCAGACAATCTTGTGACCGACATCATGAGCATCGATCTACGCAATTGGGTTAAGATGGCATGCATCAAACCAAGTCAGCGAGCCTGACAACCCGATCCAGTTAGTCGCCTCTTACGACAAACATAGTCGGCTTTTAAGGCAAGCAATGGTTGCTGAAGATCCATTCTACCCTAATCTTCACGGGTCAAAGGTCTCAAAACGTTTTATGGAAGACGTGTGGAGGACATTTCAAACTTTTGACGCATCAGTAACAAAAACTATGTTTGACGGAATTCGCTATTTTGACATATGTTCCCGTGTTTTTCAGAGAAACAACTGACTTGACTTTGCATGTGTTTGTGACGGGTGCCACCGATGGGGCAGGGTACGCTCACCTTCTTGCGAACACCTTGTATCATCACTATCTGATATTGACTCTTAAACACATACTCATGATATAGCCGGAATCGTAAAATCGAGATTATTGGTGGCTATGGAAACGGTTTATTGCTTTATGTATTCTGATGATCCTAAAAAGTGCATTCTCTGTTTATTTTCTTTCCCACCGACCAACCAGGATCCGCGAACAAGCCCGTAAACCACGTAACATACTTCATGCAAGAAACCGATCAGACGTAGTTGTACATATGTTATGTGTACCTGACATTGTGATACTTCAGATTGGACCTCAGTTGACTGCCGGCGATGGTGACGCCAACAAACATGTCATCAATTAACTGTAACACATGGTCAGTTTTTACCCTGATATGTTCTGTGCGCAGGGACGCAGTGAATTGCTGTATCGACGCCAATCCAATCAAACACAAGATGATCATATCCTGGAACATGCTGACTGTTACTTCATGTAGAAGTATATTATCTCTAATATCGGCCGAGGTGCTGGAAGACAGCAGGTGCTGCCAAGCCTTGACAACAGATAAGGAAAGTTGTGTATTTCGCAACCTGGAACAATTCTAATGAATATCTAGATAATGCTCAGACTATCTGTCAAGAATAGGGCGTGTGTGTATCTCTTTTGGTATCTAGTCTTAGCTTTATCACGCACTTTTGGAACTGAGTAAATTAGGGCTATACTACATGTTGAATATTCTGGAATTATATAGACACATCCCTTGTCGTTAATCTCATAGACTCACACCTTACACAGACGAGACCAAGGCGAAATTAATACAAACTTAGTAATTTACTCTCAACGTTTCATTTCACCAAGACCAGCTTTCGTGTGATGAGCACTCATCACATCCCTTGACCACTGTCGCTGCTGGGTGGATGTATTATTATCACTGAGTTTTGCTATCGTCACTCTGTTTTGGTATTTGATACTGACCAATGCCATCATATTATATACTGTCACTGAATAGTGTACCACCACTCTATGGTATACTGCCATTGTAACTGCTTTACAGTAATTTGTAAACCTAGTTAATTTTGTAATACATTTGTTGACTGTATACTACTTGTTGGTTGTTTGTTGGTTTCACACTTTTACGTACAGATTCTGGGTCAACAAACTGTTTCAGTTTGGGAATCAACGCTTAACAATATGTTGCGGCGAAACTATTTGAGAATATGCCACGACTGTACAGGAAGAATGTAGTCCAAGATTATAGCAACATTGACACTTCCTAACAAGCGAAAAAGAAAACAGTGCTTGAAAGAAAAAACGTACAGTGACATTGTGGTGCTATTGCTGCTGATACTATCTTATAAGACAAGTTCAGGGTGGATATAGGGTGGTATTTTTCATTTACTCTCTTGATTGATCTTTCTAAGGTATACATGCTAGGAATTTGTTCATATTTTTCAACATTGTTTTTGAAGAATTCTGCCGTGAATCCGGATGGGCCGGAACTTTTGTAATTTTTCATTTCCTTCAAAGTCCGAAGCACTTGTTTGAACATATCTTCTAAATAAACATTTGTTGTGTCTTTAGTTGTATATATATTTGTTTATGAACTGTGTGATGGTATTTCTGAACATGATCAATAATATCTTTGGCATCTGTGAAAAGTTTATTATTGCTTTCAAGTTTAGTAATACCCTTATTAAGGAACTTTTGTTTTTCAAATGATAGAAAGACTTAGTATTTCTCCTGCCAATTTGCATTAGCTCTCACTATAATTCCGTCAGTTTTATGTTCCATTTGTTATTATATTTTTTTCAATCTCTTCTGGATTTTTCTGTCTTCGTCATTTTCCTCATCTATTTCAAACTTTTCATTAGTTTCTTTTTCTTCATTAATTTTTTCCCATTTTTTTATTTGTGAGTATTTTATCGTGCATCCTCATACATTGCATAGCAAAGCTTCCTAAAATAGTTTTTTTTTATATAGTTAGATGTTTTCCACAATTATTTGTTATTTTGTAGTATTGTTTAACTGTTTGACATATATTACATACTCTGGATCGTAGGGCAGACTATTATTGAATTTCCAAAAGGCTTTCCCCCTTTCAAGGTTCCCCCCACGTGGTTGCATTTTGCTCCTGTGTGAGATTCCCCTTCCAATAGAGGTTGAAAATCAGCCATGGCGAGGAGAAAGGTAACGAACGCTGAAAGATGGGAAGTGATAGGCATAAAAAATGCTGGCATGTCATGCAGGGCTATTGCAAGACAAATGGGTCGTCATCACAGTGTTATCACTCGTTTGATTGTCAAACATGGTCAAACCAATGATGTCAATGACAGACATAGGTCTCGTAGGCCAAGAAAGTACTCTTACAGAGAGGATAGACGTCTTTTCAGGATAGTCAGACGAAATCCATTTGCCACTTCAACAGATTTAAGACTGCAGTGGATTACCCATCAGAGACTCTAGACGATGACCGTAAGGCGTCGCCTCAGAGTGGCTGGTTATAACGCCAGAAGACCAGTAAAACGTCCTCAACTGACAGAGAGGCACATGTTGAATCGTCTGATATGGTGTCGTGCCCGTAGTCGATGGAATTTGGCCAACTGGAGAAGCATTCAATGGTCTGACGAGTGTCGAATGCTGCCACGAACTGTTGGTGGTCGAATACGTGTTTGGAGGCAAGGTAACACTCGTTGTGCACCAAGGAACATCCAGAAGACCTTAGCATGTGGCGGGGGCCTGTCATGATATGGGGTTGTGTTTCCTACGGCTGCAGACTTCCGCTGACAATTCGTGGAAACCTGAATGGCCAACAATACCACGATGCCATTCTTCGTCCAGTGGTAGTCCCCCATTTCGACAACCATCCTTTTCAGACAAGACCTGTTTACATGGACGACAATGCTAGACCATACAGATCTCGGGCAGTGTTGCGTCAAGAAGCTGTTGCCACTCTTCCTTGGCCGGCCTGTAGTCTGGATCTTAATCCGATTGAGCATCTCTGGGACATTCTTGACCGGAAAGTCAGACATCGTGATCCCCCAGTTCTAAATCTTGCTGGACTTGAAGCCGCACTTCATGAAGAAGTTTCTAGGTTTGTCAGGACCATACCCGTGCTCGTGGGTTTCACCGAAGTGGTAAACGCCTGAGACCTTCGAGCATCACTTCGAGCTTTCCTCCTACATTAAGCTGACACGCCGTGATATAACTGAAATACTGTTGAAACTCATTGGCCTCCCATCACAAGGTCAACTAACACATACTGATAACATTCTCATACTTCCTTCCTTACACATAGTCATGTGCCACTTAACGGACAACTAATAGCTACTTTAGATTATAAATAGTGATGATACCAATGTTCCATTCTGAATGTTGCACTGAGGCCTTGAACGTTGTAGCCTTGATCAAACAGCTTTTAAGCAAGAGTCGTATAAGAAACTGCATATGTCAGGTGGACAATACAAAATTAAAATGAGAGAG